ATGAAATTCATGTTGCCTGTCTACACTGCCCTCTTGTGGAAGAGCTCTTGCGCAAGACGGCTTATGCCTCGTGGGGAGAGGAATAACGCTTCCGGAAGAAGCCCTGTTTTCCGACACTGTCCTGTAAATTGACTTGCGCAAGAACGCGTGGGCAGTGTAGACACCTCGCAAGTTTTTGCGCAAGAACAGTTGTTCTTGCACAAGAAGCTGCCAGTGTAGACGTAGCCATAGTGTTTGCAGGCTGCAGGGAGTATTATATTAGGGACCCAGAGGGAAAGGATAAAGTCCCAGCAATTGCTGAAGGAAAGGGGGAGAAAGGCTCTGAATCGTCTGCTGCAAAGGGGAGTGCAGGTGTGGGAGGGACAGACTCCTGCACCACTGCTAAAGGCAGCACCTATTCAGACGGGGAGGGAGATGATGCCAGTCACCGAGAAAAATGTTCCAGCCATTAGCTGTCACCCTTTGATAGGGGAACAAGGGATGGATCCTGCTCCAGGAAGCATAAAGAGTGCGCCCTAGAGGGGAGACCAGAGAAAGCAAATGGGGAAAGAATAGTAGGAGCACACGGCTTTCTCCTCTCCGGTCACTTGGGAGAGGATGCCCAGGACGGAGTGGCTGATTCAGCGCTGTGCTCCCAAGCGTTCCGCCTGTAACTCCAGGTCAGAGAGGGGACCGACTGTAGCTGACCTTCCAGGGGGAGCAGTCACACAGCTAACGGCTCAGGGAAAGGGGTGACGGAGGGTACTCGGAGCTGTTTTTTAGGACACTTGAGACGCTTGTGAAAAGTCAAGATGCAGCCCCCATGCTTGTAACAGCTTCCAGGCGACAGTTGCTGGTGAGCGTGTAACTCCCCCAGCTAGCAGAGGGGAAAGGCTGTTCCTCTGGGCGGAGCAGGCACAGAAGGAGGAGAGCTGCTGGAAGAAGGCATGGCCGTCCAAAGAGCAAGCACTCGTAACCCAGCAAGGACAAATCATAACCCTCTAAGGAAGGTAGGCAGGGCAGGTCCCAGTGCTGGGTGTGGGGAAAACAGAATAACCCCAAGAAGGGAGATGGATTTCCTGTCTAGGGACAGTCCTGGTGCTGGGAGACAGCCCCACAACCGACCAGTCAATATATGGAATCTCGTTACATCCTTTCCTCACCAGACCTTGGAGTACCAACGCCCCAGAGATACGAGTGGATTGAGACCCCATAGTGAAGGGAAAACAAAAGCAGTAGCTGAGCACATGCTAAGGCTCAGGAAGGAGTTGAAAGACACAACGGGTATTGAACATGTCTGACTGTCGAAACCAGTGGTCTCCAGCTTTTTTACACCGCAGATCACTTTTTTAATGTATGGGTAACCCAGGATGCACCCTGCCTCATTTGATCCCCCCTATCTCCATGGCTAGCTCCTCCCCACCTTTGCTTAGGGCAGGTGTTCAAGAGGGGAGTGCAGGCTCTGGACTGGGGCTGAGGTTCCGGGTATAGGAGGGGGGGTGAGGGGCAGTGTTCGCTGTGAGCTGTGCGCTTGTGAGGCCGCTCAGGAGAGGTTCAAATGCTGCCTACCTGATTAGCAGAGCGCCTTCAGCTAGGGGTTTGTTTCCACTGC